TCTCTGTGAAATTACCCTGTGTGATTTTCAAGTGTGTTTAATCCACTTTAAGGCAGTGTCTAGATTATCGAGTCAGCCTGTGTTTTAGCTGAAGCATGCACTGTCTTGATTTTTTATTTTGCTTGCTGTCTGCATAATTCATTTCATCCTGCCACGTTCCCCATGCACGCATCCTCTGAAGATGCACACTTATGATCACCCAATCTGCAGGGCACCCGCCCCTGTTGTACTGTGCTGTCTGAACAGCCTGGTGATGTGAACGTGCGGCTTGTTCGTTTCCAAAATCCTTTATTTAAAAAAAAAAAAGTTCTTTGCATGTGGTTTCCCTGAAATGTTTTAAGGAGTGGTGCCTCCTGTGATGGTAGAATAATAATTATATGTGTTTTATTATAACTCTCCCCGCTCCCTGTGGTGCAAATTTAAAAACTGTACACACACACACACACACATGCACACATGCACCCCTGCGTGGGTGTCCATGTGTGTGCATGTGTATGTGTATGTGTGTGCGTATAAAGATTTTGGCATTGTAGCTTGAAAGGTTATTCCATACCAGTTTCCTTATTACTGCTATTAAGGGATAAAAAAAATGGAGATTTAGTATGGATGGGAGAGAGAGGAGGGTGTCCTTCAAATTGAAATCTTGTGACAGTGGAGAAAATTTGTAGACAGACCATACTTTTATTTATTTGGAATATGTATTTTAAGTATCTCCCGAGTACAAGAGGCGCACTGCGGTTGCTGTGGGGATTCAGAAGTGAATTAGAAATGGTCCCTGCGGTTCCGGGACATGGGTGCTCTAGACGGGAAGGGAACGCTGCTGCCCCAACCCTGGGCTCTAGGAAAGCAGAGGAGAGCAGGCTTTGTTACTCAACTGTTCAGACGATGCAAAAGTAAATTGAGGAAGAGGAGGAATCAACGGAGGTTTAATAAAGGAGGTTATATTAGAAGTGCGGAGCGGTGGGCAGTGGGAGGGGTGGGATTTTAAACAGAGAAACGGAAGACAAACATCCCAAGCAGAGTGGAACGTGTAAACCGCTGAGAAGTCTGGTTTGGCTGGGGGTTCCCTCCCTGGCTGTGCTTTTGCATCCCTGGAGAACCTATAATAAAAAGGACTGCTGCCTGAAATCCATAGAGACCGGACAGGAAGCAGACCAGAGGCCGCCTGGGGGTGGGGGAGCTGGGGGAGAACGGGGAGTGATTACTGATGGGGATGGGGGTTCTTTTCGGGTGATGAAAATGTCCTAAAATTGAATGTCATGATGGTTGCACAAGTCTGTGAATACACTAAGAAAACCAAACACTGAATTTATACTTTCCATGGATCAGTTATGTAGTATGTGAATTGTATCTCATTAAAGTGGCTGGAAAAATGACTGCAGCCCGGTTCCCAGGCCAGACCAGTGAGATCAGAAGCCAGAGGGTGGCCCTGATCGTCTGGGAAGGAGCCCCAGGTGATGGAGCCAGACAGCGCAACCGCTGGGGCTGCCGGCTGCAAGGGTGGGCGGGCGGGCTTTACCTCTGAGAGCCTTGCAGGGCCTGCTGAAAGGATTGCGCTTCCCCAGCCAAAAGGAACCACGGACGTTTTAAAGTGGAGACCGGGCACCTGGAGACTGCTCTTTAAAAACCCACTCACAGGTGTATGGAGGACGGTTTCTGAAAGTTGGGAAGCCAGCTGAGGCTGTTTTAGGTCACCAGCGGAGAGGCGCCGTGGCCCTCACTGGTGCCAACAGTGGTGGGTGGCAGTGAGAATGGAGTGGAGGGGACCAGCGGAGAGACGCGGAGAGAGCAGACCCCAGCAGGGCCGGGTGGCTGCCTGGACGGGGCCCACGTGGGAGAGAGGCTTGGAGGAATCCGCAGTTTTCCAGGCAGTGTTTCTGTGGGGCCTGAGGAGCCAGGCCAGACAAGGAGCTGGAGGTGCTGAGAGGGGCAGGTTTACAAGAGGGAACATGCAGAGTTTTGCATATGCTGGACTCAAGGGAACTGCCGTCCAGCCATAAGCAAACATTCTGCAAAGAGTTGGAAGTGTCTGTGACCCCGAGAATAGGCTGGTCAGAGAGTTGGGAATCTGCAGACAGGAGTTTCGGGTGATCCGCTTCCCCAGCGGCCCCCTCACCTGGCCATTGGCTGGAGGACCGGACCCTCACACGTGGACCTTACCGCTGGCTGCCTGAACGTCCCCACAGCATGTCACCTGGCTCCCCCAGAGCCAGTGACCCATGATCAAGTAGGTGACTGAGTGAGGCACAAATGAGTCACAGTGTCCCAGGGACCTGGTCTTAGAAGTGACCTTCTGTCGTCTCTGCAAGATGCTCCTGTTCACACAGACCAACTATGACGCAGGGTCAGAGGGGATGGCAGGTAGGCATGAGGACCAAGGGCTGCCGCAGGCCACCCTGGACTGGCTGCCACACCCTGGTGCCTGGCACTGCACTGACAGTAGTAACAAGAGCAGTGTGGTCCCTGATGCTGGAGGGTGTGTGACAGGCAGGGCCCTCAGGTGCGGGCGGGCACCAGCTCAGTGCAGGGAAGCCTGCGCTGCCCGGAGCATCCACTCACCCACACCGTTTAGGGACACCTCTCCGTTCAGAGGCAGGAGAATAAAATGAACAGGGCCCTGATTCTCTGGACTGTGACTCCTGGGAGTTTGCTGTCCTCTGACTCCCTGAGGGGCCAGAGGGCTGGGAAGAGATTCCTGACCCCAACAGTTGTCCCCAGGGCCCAGCCACAACGCACAGTTCCAAAGAGGGGATGGTGCGGATCACTGTGGAGGGACTGGGAACAGGAGTAAGTTTTTCCATCCATCATCATCATCATCATTCATCACCTGAGGGACAGTACCTGTCTGTCTTGCCGCATATCAACACCTCGCTAATACTTGCTAATTTCCCTTTTTTACAAAGAGAGAGGGAGGCTCAGAAATGTTGGGCAGGCTAACACTTTAATGACGTTGGTTTTTGTTGTGTGTATGATGTGGCTGCCTTCTGTTTGTGGTCAGTGAGACTGGCTCTCTATTTCTGGTGGTGGCGTGGAGTTCTCTCTGGAAAATAAATGCTTGTCTATCTCACAAGAGGCTTGTGTGAAAGATAGGACGTAAATGATATTACAGCTGGTGGAGATCATGACGGTGGCAGTGAAAGGACTGAAATTTAGGAAGCCGTCCCTGAGAGCGCGTTAACTTGGCTTCCTTCAGCTTGCCTGGGCCACACAACAGGATAACGCAGACTGGGAGGTTGGGAAGTCCAAGATCAGGGTGCTGGCTGGTCTGGTTCTTGGTGAGGGCCTTCTGGTTTGCAGATGGTGCCTTCTCACCGTGTCCTGTCATGGTGCCCTGGTCTCCTCTTCTTGTAAAGACATTCATCCCATCCTGGGGGCCCCATCCTCATGACCTCATCTAAATCTGATCACCCCCAGAGGCCTTTCCAGCTAGTACCAGCACACTGGGGGCTAAGGCTTCAACGGAGGAACATTGCAGGGGACACGAACATTCAGTTTATAGCACAAGGGTTGCAATATCTCTGTGTCATGGGAAGTGGCACTCTTGAGAGGTGCTGGGGTTGGTGTCAGACATCCTGGGTGTGTGGCTACTGGCAGATCATGCAGCCTCACTTTCCACGTCTCTAAAATGGGATCACAACACCTTCCTTCCTTCACAGAACTCTTGAGGTACAAGTTGAACAACATTTGTGTAGCTTACATCACTTAAGGCTGGTAAAATGCCCCTCTATTAAACTGGGTTTTCATATATGCAAGATGACTGTGAGAATAAGCTACTTCACATTTTTACAGAAGTTTGGAAAATGCTAAAAAATACACTTTAGATCTAAAACCTAAATCTAAAATGCGTTATGGAATGACATCAAGTAGCCAGATTTTAGTTTTTTCTTCTTTATTTTCAGATGATATTATTGCTCTCCAGATCTAACTCTTTTTCATGTAAGTTAAGACAAGAGTTATGGACTCCGCCCTACCCCCTCCCTCTGCTGCCCGCCAGCCCACGCCTGGCTTTTTCTGTGGTTCACGTTTCGTCTGGCCAATCGTAATCCCTTCCCCTCCAATCTTTAAGTTTATTAAACGAGAAATTTACTCATGCTTGCTTATTTCTTTTATTTCTATGTTGTAGAAGCAGTGAGTCGCAGATTGGGGCATCTCTAAAAACGTGTTGTGTGCAGCCTGGGGTGCTGCATCCAGGGAGAGGGCAGGCCACCCTCCCTCGGCTCTGGGGAGGATTAGATTGAATGCTGGTCGGCACCCGTTAACAGAGTCACTCCTTTCTGCCACCACAGCTGCCTTTGAGTCCCCACCCTGTACTGAGAGGGGGGAGGAACGAAGGCAGAGTGGGTCCCAGAGGGCAAGCTCAGGGCAGGTTCTCTGGCAGCACGTGGCTGCCCTTCAGGAGATACAGCACCAACCTCTTCAGTGCTCACACCTTGGGGGAGCCCCGGTCATCACGTTCCTGGGGTGTACTCAGGTATTTCTGGAACCCAGCGGGGGAAGGTGAGGGGCCCGGATCTTGCAGGAGACCTCAGTCTGTAACAGCAGTTTTGTTGTTGGACAGACAGGCAGGACTTGAAAGCTGAGACCCTAACATTCATGATCATTTCTTATAAGTTGGGGATTTTTTAAAAAATTTTTGGTGAGGAGAGCAGTTTAAAAAAAACAAAACAAACCACTGAGGTTTTTGCCACCTTCATCTGTCAGTTTAACTCAGCCCATTGGTAAGTGCTGTGTTTTTCTACCCAGTGTAGTTAAACCGCTCTAGGAGGCTTTCCCACTCCTGGATTATGATTACTCTGCTGGGCTGGGGAAAGAACACCTAATGGTACAGGATGCTGTAATAGTTGTAATAAAAAGGTTCCCTTTGATACTGGGGGAATGCTGAGAGCCAGCTGAAGTGCAGGAAAGCTGTCTGAGTGAGTCATTTGCAGAGAGGGAAAGAGGGAGCCCTGCATGCTGTTTAAGGTAGCCCTTGTCTTTCCGGCTTCTCACGCTCTTTTCAGATCCCCGCAAGTGGATGACACAGAGATGCTGTTAATTGCGTCGTCGGTGAAGGAAGTGAAACAGCGCGACCAGCTCAGAGCGAAGACCAAAGCAACTTCAGAGAGGAAATCAGTCTGTCATATTTGTACAAATATGTGCACTTTAATGATAATTACCGTAGTCATTGTTTACTATTGCGCCACTATATTAATTATCTATTCAATGATAATTAAATACAGAATTCTAAACATCATCCCCAAACAAATTACCTTTTATCAATCGAAACAAACCAATTAAAAATTTCAAAATGCAGCCATGTAATCAACAGCTTAATACATGTTAATTATGACCAAAATTTCAATTAATGTGTTAATATATGACCTCAAATCTCCAGAAACAAACAACCAAAAAAAAAAAAAAAGCAACCTCACATAGCAATTATGGCCTCATTTGACTGACAGATATCTGGGAGTTTGTTTTTGTGTCTGGCTTGGTAATTTGACTTCCATCAAAAAAGCCGGCCTGTTCTTGCCTCTGTTCTGAAGCCATTGCATGAAAAGCTCACAGGTTTTGAAAACAACTCCTTTGGTTTCAGCTCCTGCATCCTGTCTTCCCTGCACAGCACTGCCCGGCGTGTGTCTCTTAGAGCATCCTGTCGGCTGCCCTGTGAACCCGTGGAGTGGGTAGCGCAGGCTGTGATCTCTTCATTTTGTAGATGGGTGAGGTGTGGGCTGGACCGGCTCCTGCAGCTCCGTGCACGGACTGGTGCAGGTGATGCCGGGGAGCCCGAGCTAGTGTGTTCGCGCGTGAGTTTGGAGGGCGGGGCGGGGGGACAAGACATGGCGGAAATTCACCACACAACCTTCGTGAGGGTTAGAGGAGGGAGTGCCTGTTCCTGGGGGTGTCAGGATGGGCCTCACAGAAGGGGCTTAGTGGAGGGAAGGGATTTAGACCAATGGAAGAGGTTGGGGGTGGAGAGCATTCTAGCGGAAGGAAGGGCTGGGTCAGGACCACATTTGGCTGGATCTTATAGTCATTGGAGAAAAGCCGTGATGGGTAAGTTCAACGGAGCAGATGAATATATCGATCGTATTTCTCATTCTGCGTGTGCCCCTCGATGGGAAGGCCGTGCTGCAACCCTGAAGTCGGGTGAGGTCGTTTAAAAGTTTACCTGTCCTTTTTTATCTGACTTCAGGTATGTCACACGACAGCACAGCATCAGAGTCCCATCACTTGACCCTTACTGCCTTGGCTTCTAATGACCAATTTATTGTGAGCCCGTATTTTATTCAAAAGAGAACTGGGGGTACTTCTAAAATAGTTCTTTATTTTATTCTTGATTTTAGTAAGTACATGCTTGCACTCTGAAACGTGGCTCACTTAGATGCACTGGCAATTTTATTATGTGCAGTTAAGTTGTGAGCCTATTTTTGTGTGTATTGAAGTGGAAAGTCTCTTTGGAAATTCAGCAAATTGGACTTCAGCTTGAAGGGGTGAGAGGGATAGAACTCTCTGTGTAAATAAATGTATGTATGTGTGTGTATAAAATGTTCTATGTATATATATACACACACACACACAGACATACACATGCATAAAGATGCACATGCATACATATGTGTATATAAATAAATGAAGTAAAACTGGACTAGTCATAAAAGTGTAAATATATCAAATATAAAATCTATTAGAGAAGGAGTTTGTTTTCATGACTCAGAAGGGAGGTGTGATAAAGAGGTATTTTTAAGACCAAGAACTAGTGTGTGTCAATTTCTTTTTGCCCAATTCCACATCTTCTTGACAGGAAGATGAGTCACTGGATTTGAATCATAAAGCTGTAAAGAATCCTGGGGGGAATTTATTTCAGGCTGGATGTTTAGAAACGTGGGCTAAATCAGTGACTGGGTATTTGAGTGGATTGGGGAAATCATCAAAAGGAGTATTTCTCTCCAGTTTTTCAGATTCTGTGGATCTCCTGCCGAGTACAGAAGTATCTTTAGAAAAATTAGTAAAGAGGTATTGCTGTCTGTACATTCTAAAGGAGGTTGTTAAAAATGAGTGGAGACGTATGATCACTCGTGTTCACAGCAGCATTATTCACCACAGTCAAAAGGTGGAAAGGCCCAGGTGTCCATTGACAGATGAATGGATAAACGAAATGTGATCTGTACATACAATGGGATATTATTCAGCCTTAAAAAGGAATGACATTTTGATGTATGCTGCAACATGGACAGACCTCGAGGATGTTATGCAAAGTGAAATAAGCCAGTCACAAAAGGATAAATACTGAATGATTCTACTTTTTTATGAGGTACCTAGAGGAGGCAGATTCATAGAGACAGAGGCTAGAATGGTGGTTGCCAGGTGCTGGGAGGAGGGAGGAACGGGAGTGACTGTTCATTGGGTACAGAGTTTCAGTTTGTAAAGATGAGAAAGTCCTGGAGATGGATGCTGGTGGTGGTTGCACAACTCTGTGAATGCACTTCACACCACTGCACCGCACAATTAAAAATGGTTGCGATGGCGCATCTTATGGTGTGTGTGTGTTTTACCACAATTTCAAAAATGAGTGGAATACTTTATTCAGGACCAGGGAAAGCAGACACCTGAGAAGTTGGATGGCCAGGCTGTTGTCTGAAATGGAAACACCAGTTGAGCCATGAGGTGAGGAAAGAGGACAACGGGTCTTCCTTCCAGTGAAATCGTCCTTTTTACCACGTCTTCCGCCTTCACTTTCCTCTTAACAGCTTTTATCCTGCCTGTCCCCTCTTCATTTACCCGATCAGTTCTTACCCCTGGGAGACGCTCACACCAGTGTCTTGCTTCTTTTTCTGCCTTCTAGGCATAAGAGCAACAGTTGGAGTAGACATGCAGTTATGACTTTTTTTTTTTTAGTTGAAAGTTAAGGTTTTGATGTTGGTCACTTCCCAAAGTGACAACAGCCCACAGCTCCTGGGAGGCTATTGCCCACTGTCAGAGAAACACAGTTAAGTGCACTGGCTGCTTTTCTGTCATGAAGAATGTGCTGTTGTGCTGCTAAATATGCTTCTGGAAGAAGCAAGTGAAACAGACTGTGGAAAAACTTAAGAAAGGACATGAACTTGGGTTTTGAATCTTGTCTTCTCCATTTCAGTCTAAAATTCATTTTATTTAGGATCAAGGGTTTAGCATGCTTCTTGTTGATATTACTAATTAAAAATAATGTCACAGCAACGGTGTTTTGACCATTTTCATGTGGGTAATCAGTGCCTGTAGTCGAAGCTGAAATCAAAACTACTGTACTTTTGGGCTAAGAAATCTGTGCTTTCAGAGATAGTCGTGGAGGAGAGGAGATAATAGTCTGGGATCCTCCACACATATTTTAGGTTTTATTTGTTGAAAGTGGACCGCAAGGGGGGTTAAGACCTGATCTTCTTGAGAAATGAGAAGTGGTCAAAACCTAGTCACTAATTAAGTCTGCCTGGGAGGGGACACTGCTTTCCAACCTTGCAGGGAAGTAGCTGTCTTACCAAGGTCACAGGCGATGTGTCCACCCAGTTAAAAGCACTAGTTACCAAGATGCTACCAAAGTCTGCTTTATGGATGGAAACCTCAAGGCCATATATGTGTTTTATAGGAACAATACATTTCCATTTTAAATAGAACAGTTTCATTTATTTCTCATGAGAGAATGTTAAAGCATGGGTCAGACTTATTAATTGTTGGAAGGTCATCTTAAGAAAATTACTTCTGTATTGAAAAAGATTTTAATTTTTCTTCCTTGGAAATAGAGATTTATTGTTTCAGTGGAAAAGAGAACCATCATTTTGAAAGCTCTGTGATGTTGTCTCACAAAAGCTTAACATTACTATTTAAATATCACAGGTACTGTAAAATGTAATGTGGAAGCTAATTTTCATAGATTTTGATTCTTATATGTCTATATGTATTGACATTATCTTAAATTCACATTTTGAGCAAACAAGCTAATTTTATGATGAGCGGAATCATTAAAAAGATCTTTTTATTCTAAGTTTGCTAAAGAGTCCTAAAGGATTATACCCACACTGGATGTAGTTTGGAGACAAAAAGATTTCTGTTGGTAGGGATATTGGTGACAAAAGTCTGAAACTATTACGTGTCTACTTAGGAGAGAGCAAATGAAGAAATGTAATGATGTGTTGGAAATTAGAATTTTTGCTGCAGATGAGCAGGGACACAAATATGGAAAAGGGAGAATGAAAGGAAGTGTCTCATGGTATTGGATTTGAGTTGAAGATATCAGAATGAACTCATGTTATGCACGCACGCGCGCACATACACACACACACACCGCGTGGATGTAACTGAGAGAGCCTAGAAGCCATGTCATGCTAGTAGTAATAAGCATCGCTGATGTCCAGATCTTGGTTTCTAAATTCCATATCCCACTAAAAGAAGCCACTGGAGATACTGCAAGCCTGAGGTATTTGTGTCCGAAGCAAGGCAGTGCTGAAAGCCTGGAGAGGTCATGTCGAGGTACTAGCTGAAAGGGACTCTCAGTAGCCAAACTCAGGACCATCCCAGTATCAAAAAGAATTTTGATGATCATAGATTTTTTTTTAAAAAACATGAGTTAGCAGTGATAGAAGGAATTATAGAATTTAAAAAAATCATCATTTTGTTAACACCAGCGTCATCACTGACTCAGGATGGATGCTAAAACGGTGGGGAGAAAGGTGGTTGTTGTTGAAGAATAGAATGTTCTCATGTTCTGAGATGACTTCAGGAGACAATGTGCCTTTGAAGTGGAGAGATGGATTGTCAGGACCTTAACCAAATGGGCAAGCTTGGCGTCACTAATAGCGGGAGTCCTGATGGGATGGAGCGGA